TTTTTCTGCTGCCCCCCGGCCTCCTTGTCGGGGGTTTGGAGCAGAGTGTTGACGGGGTTTTCCGTGGCTGCCGCGGTGTTTCCCCCGGGTGCCTGGCTTGCTAGGGCTCTGGCGAAAACCCCCTCCAGGGCTTTGAGCACATCGGGATGCTGCATGGCAGCAGCAAAGGTAGGGACATGAGGGACGGGGGCTTGGGTCCCTTGCTGATTGCGGCGCGAAGTTTCTTCGCCGTTGCGTCGGCGGGGCTGAGCGCCGGACTGCTGGGTTGACTCGTTGTTGCTGGATGAGGCCATCTTGGACGATATTTAAAGCGAATGGAAGTGAGTGAATACGGGATTTCACAAGGTCGAACAATTGACACCAAGTAACTTATGATCCCCTTCCTCTAGCACCAAACTGTTGACGAGCGTTTTCAGTCAACGGTTAAAGATTAAGAATGTCGAAAGTAAGATTGAAAAATGGGAGAATGGTCCGGTTTAATCACGATTTTATTAAACGATCACGAGGTCGGCCTCTCGTACGAGGTCGGCACTTGTGATATACTTACAGTTCTTACAACAAGTTTTTTACAATTTCTAGAGAGAGAAAGTAAAGATGAAGCAGAGTTAGTTGGGATTCAACAACCCAAAATAAATGAGTTGAGCTGCTATTTATAGTAGTCTTTAATGTGGCACTATTCAGCTACTGTTCACTGGTCTTGTCGCACAGTAATTTGGCAGAGCAGTTCGGCGTCCGTCTGACGGATATTTAATGCGATTTGAGGTTTCTTCAATCATTGCCTGACGGGCATTAAATGCCAGCATGGGGGGGCATTTAATGCTGGATGGCTTTGCTGACTCAGGCTGGCTGGTAGGGGGCTAGGACATGATTACCTGTCCCATCGTCCAATGATGACCTCCCAAGTGGGAATATTTTAATGTTAATTGAGGCCCGCGCGTCGTCCCTGGTCGGCCTCCTCATACTTTCAGGGCGGCACTTCGTTCGTAGATGCTCATGAGACTACGAGTAGTCTCCCTCCTGTCCGGCACCCATCCAGGTCGGCAGCTCCCCGGTCTGGGTCGGGCGCCGGGCTGAGAATCTGTTCCCAGGGCGGATTCCCGCCCCTCTAATCCGCGGTCCAGCTCGGCACTTTCTCATCAGACCGGGTTCTTGTTTCGATCCGGATGGGCTGAGTATCCGATCCGGCCCGGACCGAATCGGTTGTCAACAATATCCATGACTTTTTATTTATTTCCTTCAATTTTACTATTGAATTGTAAATGTATTTTAAAAGTTAATAACTTTTGTATTTCTTATCGTTTTTACATATATAATATATCAAATTAATCATCTTTTGATGATCTTCGATTTGACATCCATATTGTATATATGAAATAAATATATCTTTATAATAATAAAAAATAATAATATTTATTAAAATTCATTAGAAAAATAAAATCAATTCTCAATTGATATATTTATGTTTAATGTAGTTATATGTTGTAAGTCAAAAAAATATTATAATATAACATATGTAAGTCGCACATATAAAAAAGTGTCATACTAAATATATAATAATATATATATTTTTATAAAAGATATTGAAATTTTCAGTTACTTTTTCTCATTAATTTTAGATTTTAAGAAAAAAATTAGCAAGCACCCGTGTAATACACGGGCGTTGTACAAGTTATATATAATTCCCGAAAGCGCTGAGCCTACGTGGCTGCTTCTGGTGTTTTGGAATCCTACTTGGCGAAGAATCATGCTTTGTAATTAGGTTTGGACAAATAATATTGATATTAATAATTAATAGTCTAGGTTCGGACATTCCATAAATATTATTTAGCTAACTTAGGTATTTTAATATCATTTGTACTAATATAACCCTTATTCTTTGTAATTAAATGACTAATATATTCCTAATTTTTTATTTGTTTCCTTCAATTAACTATTGAATTGTAAATGTATTTTAAAAGTTGATAACTTTTGTATTTCTTATCCGTTTTACATATATAATATATCAAATTAATTATCTTTTGATGACCTTCGATTTGATATCCATATTGTATATAGGAAATAAATAAATTATATTTAACTTTATAATAATAAATAATAATATTTATTAAAATTCATTAGAAAAATAAAATTATTTATCAGTTGATATATTTATGTTTAATGTAATTATATGTTGTAAGTTAAAAAATTATTATGATATAACCCAGGTAAGTCGCAAAAAAAAGTGTCATACTAAATATATAATAATATATATTTTAATAAAATGTATTTAAATTTTCAACCACTTTTTCTCATTAATTTTTGATTTTAAGAAAAAAAATTAGCAAGCACCCGTGTAATACACGGGCGTTGTACTAGTAAATATTTAAAATCTAAAATTGTGTCAAATGAAAAATTTAACTCTTAAAAATAAAAAAATTATACAATAATTTAACATTTTTGTTATATGCGAATTAACAAATTAAAAGTTTAAACTGTAACTCAAATGAATATTAATATTTTCCATATATAAATGCATAATTTTTTAGTTTGTTAAAGTTCGTTTGGTTCGTAATTTTACGTGTTGTGTAGTTCGCAATTTCATCGGATAAATTTTCTTAAACTATAAAACACTTGGTGAAATTAAATTATAAATCTATTTCAAATTTTAATTGTTTTTAAATTTATTATGTCAATTTCTTAAATACGTTATAATAAATCAAACATCTGTTGATTATTTATTTTTAATTTTTGGAGACCAAAAAAATAGTTATTTATTATGACAATTATATTAATGAAAATACGACGAAAATGAATCTAACGCCGTCAGGGGATCAAGAGAAACCCAAACCCTTATCATCCTGACGGCGTCACCAAAACTCCCACACGCCGTTAGCTGAAAATCCCGCGGAAAAGTATAAATTTGTACGAAAACTGAAAAAATTGGGGAAGAGGAGGACCACAATGGATTTGCTCAATCTCAACAGTATTATTGCCTTTTTATTTAATTAAAACACGG